CTCTCTCTCTCTCTCTCTCTCTCTCTCTCTCTCTCTCTCTCTCTCTTTCTCTCTCTCTCTCCAAGAGTACTCACACCACAATTTCTAATTCCTACAGAACAACTCACCGCGATGGACACTGTGTCATCTGACGTCACTGACACGTGAGATTGCCTGACATCGGGTCGTGCCTCCACAAAGCCTGGATTCTCGATTCCTTGCTTACCTGACGAGATACAATATATCATATGACATACATACAATATATCATACGAGATACAATATATTATACAATATATCATACGAGATACAATATATCATACAATATATCATGCGAGATACAATATATTATACAATATATCATATGAGATACAATATATCATACAATATATCATGCGAGATACAATATATTATACAATATATCATACGAGATACAAAATATCATACAATATATCATATGAGATACAATATATTATACAATATATCATGCGAGATGCAATATATTATACAATATATCATATGAGATACAATATACCATGCAATATATCATGCGAGATACAATATATTATACAATATATCACGCGAGATACAAAATATATTACACAGTTGATTATATGTGTCACGACGCGGTGGAATCAGGCGCTGGTCAATTTTGGGGCATAATGTGGAGTTATTAGTATAATCTTAAAGCCAGTCCATTTGCCTTGCTTTAGATGAAAAAAATATCAATTTATCTTGGATACAATTCAAGATACTTGCGATTGAAGGAGGTGGGGGTCACCTGATTTCAGAAGTAACATTAGCGAGAAAATGGCCGCCAAAGTTGAGTTATTTCCTTAGCTTGAGAGTCCGTGGAAACTGAAAATTTACATCTTTTATGCCTTTAATCAGCATTTTTCAGTAAAACCCACACAGAAATGTGCTCTTTAAAGGGCATGAAAGGTGTTGAGCAAAAATTTAAAAATTCAATAAAAATTCCCAAAGCTGCGGAAAAATGCCAGTTTCTTGATTGTCATTATTTTGACGAGCGCCTGATTTCACCACGCTGCCTCACATATTACACTGTTACAGTCACACCAACATCCCTTACTGTGCTACCTCAGAATTACAAAGTCCCATCTGCTCAGTACCTAGTTTTGAGAAATTTAGTTTTAGTTTTAGTAAGAGTTTTAAGGCACTTGCAACACAATAAGGTCATATAAGTGCCGAAGAATAACCGAAGAATAGATGTGTTACACAAAAGAAGGAAGAGAGAGATAAGGACGATAGCCGTTTGATAGGAAAGCAGGAGCAGACCACACCAGAGCACCCGCCAAACAATTGCTTTGAGAAATTTGACTTTAAAAAATTAGAGTTTCACAGCATGTCAAGCTTTTTTAAATTCAGGTTTTTTTTAAATATCTTGAACACAACTCTGAATGAATAATTTTAATCTTACGATTTTGACACAGTTGAGAGAACATTTTGGTTTCTGACCTCATGATCTTAGTAAATGAAAACAGCCACACATGTCAGACAGAACTTTGTAATAATGAGGTAGCGACTCGTTTGCGTATACGAGGGGCATACGAAAAGTTTTTTACCCGACCATGTAGGGAAAAACGTAGAAAGCTGAAATTTGGCACTAAGCTTAGCCTTTCTTTATGTAGTCGCCTTCTAGAGTCATATATGTTTGCCATCTGTGTATGACCTTGAAAAGACCTTGAAAATAGAGGACCTTCTCTATGTCAGAAAACAAGCCCTCTACCGCTTCTTTGACCTCATCATCACTTTTTTTTACACCAAAATTTAATCACAGCATAGGATGGGCAATCAGTTCCATATACGGCATGCATCTCCGTAAAAATATCCTGTTGTTGCTCGCCTTGCGAGAACAAATACTTCATTACTGCCCTGCACTTAATTTTCTCCATGTTTATGTTGAAACAGGTGAACAACATACCCCCATTCACTTACAGTGCACTGGTGGTAAAACCAGTAATCTGAAATTCCCCAAAATTTACAAGCATTCTAGGAAGAAGATGATTGTTGACTTTCACACCAAATTTCAGCTTTCTACCTTTATTCCTTCATTGTCAGGTAAAAAAACTTTTGGCATGCCCCTCGTAGAGCTGCAAATCACCAATGACACCAACGTAATAACGGTAATTTAATTCAGGGGAGAAGTAAAACCTTGACCATCAATGATTTATTTATAGAGGCACCAGCCATCCATGTCCAGGTGCAAAGGGAAAAGTAAAACAGATAGACAGAAACAACAGAGAAAAAGAAAAACAAAGTAGAACATCAACGAAATAACGGTCATTCAGTGGAAGGGGGGATGGGGGTGGGTGGACGATGGACGGCGTTTAGGGGCGGCAGAAGTCAGAAAGGGGTTGATATTGCAATAAATACCAACACATCCTAAACACTGAAAAAGATCACGTGGATCTTCACCCCGGGCCGTGCTGGAATCAAGAGCAATGAGCGGGCTGATGAGCTCGCTGAAGAAGCAAGACCTGAAGGGAAGCTGTGCCCTGACAAACCTGAAATTGTACGTTCAGTCAGGGAAAAACGAGAAAAAGAACAAGAAGAGTCGGAATACCATCATCTTGAGCGACTTCATGAGCTTGGAATTGGATGGGGCGCCTGCAGAAGTTCGAGACTTAGTGGAAGGAGCAGAAGGCTATGGAATCAACCATTGCTTGGAACCGTCAGCATCTACACACTTCGAGATCTGCTTCTTCAGGGGACGGAGCGCCTATGGGGATGCCCCTTGTGCAGTGATGTCAGTCCTTCACACAAGTAAACAAGTAAACATCCTTAACCCTTTAACCCTTTGACCTACCTTGAGAGGCGACAGATCCCTCCGAGTCTCCTCCATCTTCCTCCAGCTTTGAGTATGTCGCAGATATAGACAGGCGGGGCAGGGTCAGGCGTCTGTGGTTGCTCGACTTCTGAAAGCAGATGATTAAACAACAGAATGTATGAAAGGAGGAAAGGCAGAAAGAATGCACGGATGAATGAATGAATGAATGAATGAGTGAGTGAGTGAGTGAGTGAGTGATTGAGTGAGTGAGTGAGTGAGTGAGTGAGTGAGTGAGTGAGTGAGTGAGTGAGTGAGTGTGAGAGTGAATGAATGAGTGAGTGAGTGAGTGAGTGAGTGAGTGAATGAGTGAAAGAGTGAATGAGTGAGCGAGTGAACGAATGAATGGATGCCTGAGTGAGTGAGTGAGTGAGTGAGTGAATGAAAGAGTGAGTGAGTGAGTGAGTGAGTGAGTGAGTGAGTGTGTGAGAGAGTGAGTGAGAGAGTGAAAGAGTGAACGAATGAATGAGTGAGTGAAAGAACGAATGAACGAATGAATGAATGAATGAATGAATGAATGAATGAATGAATGAATGAATGAATGAATGAACGGCCTGTGAGTGAAAGAACGAAAGTATGTCGCACATATAGACAGCAGGGGCAGGGGCAGGCGTCTGTGGTTGCTCGACTTCTGAATGCACATGATTAAATAGCAGAATGGATGGATGAAAGAATGAATAAATGAGAGAGTGAGTGAGTGAGTGAGTGAGTGAGTGAGTGAGTGAGTGAGTGAGTGAGTGAGTGAGTGAGTGAGTGAGTGAGTGGATGAATGAATGAGTGAAATAATTACTTAATTAATTAATTAACAAAAGAACGAATGAATGAATGAATGGATATATGAATAAATAAATGAATGACGATTAAATTAGAGATACGAGTAAGTAAATGACAGAATGAATAAATGACCTAAGACTGAAAGGATGAAACAAATAAACCAATGCTTTAGCTGAGACTTTTATGGCAACGTTTTAAATTATTATTAAGGTGACTTTGGTCAAATTAAAGCCCCTTGCAGCTTGCCTTCCAAGTTGGAATCACAGTCTCATAATCATGGAAGAAAATCAGTTGCACTGCGGGTTGATTTGTTTGTTTGAGTAAAGAGAAGCACATTGATACAATAATGGTTATTTTGTGCTGAGAAAAAGTAAGACGGAATGCAGAAAACAAAGCCAGGAAGAAACTTAACATCATGAGAAAACTAGCAGGGACTCAGTGGGGAGCAAATGAGAAAACACTTAGACAGGTCTATCTAGGCGCAATCAGGCCCCATCTCGAGTACGGGTCCAGTGCATGGATGACTGCAGCACAGACTCACAAATACACTCTGGAAAAAGTGAAAAACCAGGCTCTCAGAATAATCACGGGAGCAATGAGGTCAACGGCTACAGAAAAGATGGAACAAACAACATCTATAGTGGCCCTGCAGAGGAGATGGGAGTGCAAGGCTCTCATACAGTACAGCAAGTCCACAGCTATGGAGGATCATAAACTGCACACAAGAACAGCCAGATCAAACACCACAAGACTTAAAAGATCCAACTTCATAAAAAAAAGCAGAAAAATCCAAATATCCATACAGGACCATCTACTAGACTCAGTTAACATGCTGAACCATACCCCAGAGACACCATCATGGGAAAAGAAAAACACAAACATAATTATACACACGCCCATTCTTATGTTCACCACAAAAGATGACCACAGCGACCTGAGCAAGAAGTCCCTCATCCTGTCCATGCTTGAACAAAGATACCCACGAGAAGCATGGATAAGGATCTATACAGACGGATCTGCCACTGATGCTGTGAAAAGAGGAGGAGCCGGAGTGTACGTACAGTTCCCAAATGGACGACGACAAGCAGAGGCAGTCCCAACAGGGCGAAATAGTACAAACTACAGGGCAGAGACGGGGGCTCTTATACATGCAGCAAACATCATCAAGAATGTGGTAGACCCCCAAAGCCAAGTAGTATTCCTTACAGATGCCATGTCAGTACTGCAGGCAATCACTTCTGGCAAACTACCAAGGCTACGAAAAGTAATTGAGACATGTCTGAGGATCATGCTGCAGTGGATTCCATCACACTGTGGTGTTTTAGGAAATGAGCAGGCAGACAGGATGGCCAAACTAGGAGCACTGAAAGAGCAACCAGACAACAGCGTTAACTACACATAAATAAAAACTATTATAAATACACTATTTAAAGCACCCCAGACACCAGATGGCTACCATGAGCTGTCCCGCCAAGAACAAGTGATTATCTTCAGACTAAGGACACAACACACAAGACTGAGACAACATATGTACAAATGTTTTAAACTAGTACAATCACCAAAATGTCAATGTGGAGAGGCGGACCAAACTGTTGAACACATCCTTCAACACTGCAAGACACACAGGGCCCTGAGACAGGAAACGTGGCCAACCCCACTGACGCTACAAGAGAAGCTATACGGGAAGACAGATGAACTGAGCAGGATGGACCAATTTATGACAGATACCAGACTTCAAGTGTGATGCAATTGAGAAGAAGAAGAAGAAGTAAGACGGAGAAAAAGTAAGACAGACGGACACAGAAACAACAGAGGGGAAAGTACAGAAGTAGGATATCTACCAGAGGCGCCCTCCAACCACCCACATTGCGGGTTGAAGAATCACCAGTCGACTATAAAAAAATCTAGCCCCGCCATCTAGCAGATAAACACAAAGAAGAAGAAAGGCAAATATGTGGGGTGGGGGTAGTCAAAGTTTACTTTTATTGATTGTAAAGATTGTAAAGCACCTAGAGCATGCCGTTGAGCGGGAACTTGGGTAATACAAATGCTATCTATCTATTATTATTATTATTATTATTATTATTATTATTATTATTATTATTATTATTATTATTATTATCATTATTATTAATATCATTATTATTATTATTTGGTCGCTTTTAAGCACAAGGGGGCTATCCCGAAAAAACGCTGTTTTGAGAAAATCGAAGGAAAAGTCTTTGGCCCTAGTTCAGTTTCTTTAAAAGACAAGGAGAGTTTTCTCTATGACCAAACAAATTATATACACTCCAATGAAACCAAACTTCTCCTGTAGGTAGGGAAATGTCCACTTTTGGTGTAGGTCAAGATTTCTGGACCCCCCCCCCCCTCCCCCCCTCGAAATCTGGGTTAGCCCGCTTGTCCTTAAAAGCGAACATTTGTGAGGCAGCGTGGTGGAATCAGGCTCTCATCAAAATAATCAAAGTGAAGAAACTTGCATTTTTTTGCAGGTTTGTGAATTGTTATCAAATTTTTGTTTCTTGGCTCAACACCTTTCATGCCCATTAAAGAACTCATTTCTGTGTGGATTTTTCTCAAAAACGTTGATTAAAGGCACAAAAAATGTTAATTTTTAGTTACCACGGACTCTTAAGCTAAGGAAATAACAAGTCTTTGGTGGCTATTTTGTCAATTATTTTAACTCTGAAAACAGGAGACCCCCACCGCCTTCTTTTGCAAATATCTCGACTTTTCAAGATAAATGGATATTTTTGTCATCCAAATAAAGGCAAGTGAACAAGCTTTCAGAAGATACCAATAACTCTACATGCCCAAAAATTGACGAGAGCCTGATTCCACCACGTTGCCTCCCATTAATCAAATATCCTACTGTACCTCCTCTTTGACATCTCTTCCGTGGTCGTTGCTACTCATGATATCCATAACATCATCTTCAGTAGTGATGGTGGTGCTGGTGGAGGTGGTAGCGGTGGCAAATCTGCTGCTGCTGTTGTTGTTGCTGCTGTTATTGTTGCTGTTGTTGTTGTTGTGGTGGTGGAGGTGGTGGTGCAGGTTGCTGCCATAGCCATGATATTGTGGGTGGTTCATGTCAGCCGGGGTGCTAATGGGAAAGGCACTGGGGTTTTGGGAATGATTCTGTCGTCGTTGTTGTTGCTGTTGTTGTTGTTGTTGTTGTTGCTGTTGGGACTCGATGGGGAATGTGAGGTGTGGTGGGCCGGACTGGGTGGGGGATTCGGTTCTGAGGATTGAGAGAAAAGAAATTGTAATTGCAGAAATTGTATGTTCCTATCGACAAAATTAGGAGGTAATTAAAGGTCAGAGCCAACTCAGGCTAAGAAGGATACACTGCCCCAGAAAGCAATCGTTTTAGTTGTTGTTGCTGCTGATGTTGTTTCATCGTTGTTACTTTGTTGTTGTTGTTGTTGTTGTTTGTTGTTGCTGATGATGCTGAAGTATTGTTATTTTGTTGTTACTATTGTTGTTGTTGTTAAACCAAAACACCTATCATTAAGTAGTCAACTCATCCATGAAAATCTGTGCGTTTTATAATTTCAACCAGTTTTTAAAACTAAAACACCTATCCCTTTTAATTAAACTCAAACATGAAAATCTGTGCTAGTTAGTTTTGGTTTTCGTTGAGGTTTTACGGCGCTCGCAACTGCATAAGGTCATATAAGCGCCAGAAGATTAAAAGTGTTACAAGAGAGTAACAAACAT